GAGTGGAGACACATGGAGGAGAGCAAAATGGCCAAGTGTGGTCAATAAGTGTCGAAGGAATAAGGTACTGTTCTCTTTCGGGAGAGGAAGGAGGAAATGTCACGAAGGTAACTTCGTCACTGTGGACTGACGTCTTCGGGCTTTGTATATTGCACATTTATTTTGAAAAGTGTTCCCTTTCCCCATGTCTGTTGCTGTTGATTGTGTGCACCTGGTGCCCTGTGTTGTCTCCTCCCCCCTCACCTGTGTCTTGTTGGGTTAATTAGTGTGGTATTTAGGCTCTGTGTTTCCTGTTAGGTAGTGTGGGTGAGATCCTTGTGGCTGGTGACTGTGTTCACCTGGGCAGCAATATTGAAGCTGTGTCATGTACCACAGCAATGAATAAATGCCCACACCGGGTTATATTTGAATTCTCTGACTCTGCCTCCTTGCTTGGTCGGGCCGCTCAACGGTCAGCTTCACATAAGGTTATAGCGGATCCTCAAGGTCAAAAGGCTACTTGAATGGCATCTGTTTGTTTTAGTTAAGAATATGCTAAAATATTCTTTCCCCAACTATATTTAAGTTCCCTATGAAGAGCCAACCTTCAATTTAGAAAATTCCCAGTTTATTCCCATAAATTCCCGTTTAATCCCATTTATTCCCATGGAAAGTTTCCATCTTTGAAAATTCCCGGAATTTTGCAACCCTATTCAGAACACATACTCTTGTTATACTCTAACGACTTACTATTGTTCATTTCTAACCCTATATCTACCATTCCTCAGATAGTAGATCTGTTAACTCGATTTTGAACCTTTTCAGGGTACAAATTAAACTTTTCCAAGAGTGAGTGCTTCCCTGTAAATGACCTGGCCCTCCAGATCCCCGATAGACTCATCCCCTTTAAGGTGTCCAGGAGTAATTTATGTACTGGGGGCGTGTGTGGCGTAGTGGGTTGCCCGTAGGTGTTTGGATCACGGGGTCACAGGTTCAAACCCCACTGCAATCAGCATGTCGTTGTGTCCCTGAGACATTTCACCCCAAATTGCTCCCGTGGGGATTGTCCACAGTATTGAGTATGTAAGTCGCTTTGGATAAAAGCGTCTAACAAGTAACATATACAGTAATAATAATATAATACTTGGGTGTGAATATATGTGGAAAACTCTCACCACTAATTGACAAACTCAAATCTGATTTGGAAAGGTGGAATAATTTACATTTAACTGTCGCTGGGAGGGTAAATCCACAAAGTAATCGTATGGATTAAGGAACCAACATTGAGTTGGTGTGAGCTTGAAGCCAAATCCTGTCCTACTACCTCACTCTTGGCTTTGCTCACATCTACATTACCCAGCCGGCCAACTCAATATTCGAATAACCCGATTGTTGTTTCCACCCTAAGAATATGGTCCCAATTCAGAAAGGCTCATGGACTTCATGGATCCTCTATTCATAGTCCCATTCGCAACAACCATCTCTTTCTCCCCCCTTACACTGATGGGGCCTTCTCTATGTGGCAGAGATTAGGTCTTATCAGAGTAAGAGACCTTTACATCAACAATG